TCCACTGTGAGGACATTGGGTACTATCAGCATGTCTTGATACGTACCTGTGATGTGTATGCCAGTGTCACCAAAACCCTTAAACATCTCTTGCGGTCTCATGTCCCCTGGCTTTCCTTTAATAGAAACTAGGATTAAGGATTTCTCTGTTCTGTAAGTCCAAATCTCCATTAGGAACTGTCAAACTGACTGGTATTCTACTGCTAAAGTAAAAGGTTGCCATTTTCAATCTTTCTCGGTGAAAGATGTTTCTTGTTACAGGAAGGGGGCTGACATACTTGCATTAAGTTAATGTGCATTTAGTGCTGTGCAAAAAATATGAAAGAACTGGCATTTTGTCTGGAAAGAAAAAGGCAATAGCCTTTCATTATTGGAGAGAACATCTGATTTTTCAATGGGTAGCCCAAGATGACTTAAAGGAGGCTGATCTTCAGCGTTGTGGGCATTTAACACTGCCACGGCAGTCAGCTCTACAGCACGTTTGGCTTTGCAGTTAGGCACCCAAAGCTGGAAATGTCCCAAATCACTAGTTACTTGTGAAAATCTTGGTAATTTTTAAACCCAGAGGTCTGGAGGTAACATCCTTGCACTTATTTGCACAGCATTAGCATATATGACTCTATTTTTTGTCAGACTTCTAGAAAAAATGAGCTGGTAGAGATTGGGTTTCAGGTTTTGAGAACAGAATGAGTTCTGATCACAAAGAGGGTCCTGTGTAATGGGTCTAGAGAAGAGATCTGTGGCGCTTGACTCGGCACCCTGCTATGTGCTGACAGAACTAGCGCTTTGTCTTTGAAGCGCTGTGTGGCTGTGTATGTTCTGCTTGGTTCTGAACTGAATTTACATGCGTTTTAGACATGCGTCCTGAAGATCAGAAATCCCACTTACAGGAACAGCTATCTTCATCTTCACCATTCAGGTGAGCGTCGCTGTGAATTAAACTGGGCTTTTGGTAGAAACCTGTGCATTCACTGGCTGCATGAGATACATTCTTGTTTTCCATGTTGAGGAGATGAAAGGGGCAAGATGAAATCCCATTCCCTTCAACTTGTAGTTTGATACAAGAAAAACAATCGTGTAACTTTTTCCACCCCCACAGGATAATTGTTTTGGATCAGAGCTCTCCTACATGATTAACATGGATAGTGAAGAAGTTCTAACACATCACCTGCTGGCTGCTGCTTGGACAGTATGCAGCTTGCGAATTGCAACCCTTTTCGGCCATATAAACAAGGTTAAAGCTCAGACTGGTTTGAACTGCAGCAGCAAGTACAGAAGAAAATCTGCTGGTTTGCTTTGTAACACAGTTTGAGCTGGTGTTACGCCATCATTGCCTATAAAGGCAGTATCAGTAATATAGCAGAATTGAACTGTTTTCTGAATATAATGTTCTTATGAAACTGGCTGTGCGGTGGGGTTTTGTTCTTCGCATGCACGCTGTCATCAGCAGAAGAATTTCTTGCTCTGTTGCACTGTGCAGTTTTCAGCGTTACAGACAAAATGATTGTAATTCTGTGGACGGCTCTGACTGCTCAGGCACTTGTTCAGTTTTTCCATGCTGGAGTGTGGAGCGCTGTTACAGCCCATGTAGTGTATGTTTTTCCTTGCTCATTAAATTTAACAAGGTAATTTCTTGTTTTCTCATTTCTTAGAGCTTTTGTAATCTAGCATTGAACTGATTTGGCTGATTAAGGGGATTAATTGCTGTGCAAAAAGCTAATGAGAAAAAGGCAGTGTTCTTCAGAGATTGCAAGTGCAGCAATACATTCCCTGCCAGCATTAGACAAGAATATGACAAAACCTGGTTAGTATTGCAGGGGTACCTGTTGTTTAATTAAACCACGCTTTTGGTAGGCCTCATCCAAGGAAAAAAAAAAAAGTCCCTGGATACAATTGAGCTTTGGATCGTGATTTTGATGGGCACAGCAAGCTGGTGTTTAACTTTTCATGTGATAAATACTGTTGAGGTGCAGGTGGTGTGAAGCTTGTCCTTGGCCCTGTTGAACAGACCCTGGGATTTCAGCTGCCTGCGTACGGCTGGGTGTGCCACGAGCTTTCGTGTGGGGAAGTGCTGCCTGCCTGTAACTGTTAATAGTTTGGTTTAACAATAATAATAAAGTTCCCAAGGTTATTATGCTTGTCATGCAGTTCTTTTTCTGGTTTTGGGGGTTCTTTTGGGGGTTCTTTTTTTTGGTTTGGTTTGGTTTTTTACTTATTAACTATATTTCGCATCATCAGACTATGTATACAACTGGATACCAGTAGAGCTGCTCCAGGGAAGGTGCTGCAAACTGTCAGGCTTGGGGGAGCTTTCTTCAGAAGAGATCAAGAAAAAAGAAAAATCTTGGATCCATTTAGTCATGTCGCCGTAGTGATGGAGCTAGAGCGGAAGTGCCAGCAGCGAGGAGGCTGCAGTTTGAGTTCTACCTCAGGTTACCGGCAGCGCCAGTGCCTGGGGAACAGGGCCCACTCTTGTGCATTACACAGTTCTGTCCAGACAAAAGTTGAGTATTTTCTTAACCTGGGCTTGCATCAGCTGCAGGTACCCGGCCTTCTGTGTGGGCGAGTTCTGCATCCTTGCCGCAGCTCGAAGAACTTTACATTCTTGATGTAAGCTGCTGGAATGAGACCCTGCTTGACATCATCCTGGGGCTGTGCAGAGCGTTGTGTTACGGTGCAGCCTGTTGTGAGGAACAGAAGAGGGTGATGACAAATGCAGGAAAAGTTAAGTCACAGATTTATTGTGTGATTCTGTCCTTAGTGGCTGGTGCCCTGTAACTGACAGGTAGCCGAGGGTCCTTCCCTCTCCCTTTGGGCAGTATTTTGTTATGTGTCATAGACTTGCTCAATTAAATTAAGAGTAATTGCAGGGCTGCAGCAGTGTGGTGGACTTAACGCAGGCACAGATGTATTTTTACATGCACGTAATTATATATTGCTTTGGTTTGTAACACGTGAAGTCTCCTTAGCTTCTGGGATTTCTTTTTCTGTTTTATCTGACCCAATGGTGAGCAGACTGTGAACCATTTCCCTATCTTTTTTTCATCTTAATGTGGAGAATTTTTATTTCTGTTGGTGGAGAGCCTTTCGAGTAGTCCCATAGCCTGTCTGCTCTCCTTATCGAGGCCAGAACACTGCAGTTGAAGATTTCAGTTTTTCAGCTGCTTGTACTTTTCCAGATTTAAGTTTAGCATGAATGTAAATCATCCTAATAACATAAAGCATGGACACAAAAGCTATGATTAGCAGGAACAATTAAACAAAGACCAGCGAAAGACAGCAGAGAAGATCAGAGGGGGCCCATCTAATGCTGCTTTTCAGCCTCTGAGAGAATGAAAGGCCAATTAATTAAATTAAAACAGAGATACTGAGCCGTTCTAATTCCTTGCTGAGCTGCCAGCATGCGAGCCGTTGTGTGCGTGGGCAGGCAAGCGGCGAGAGGGAGGTCGAGACACGGGGGTGGGGATGCGGCTCTGCCCGGGGGTGCTGGCAGACCCCGCGGTAGGGTTGTGTGAAGACAAGAAAAACACCTGCTCATTCTCTAAGCAGCTGCGTTTCAGCTCCCTTGTACCTGCCGTCGTTCTGGGCTTGGTTTGGGGATTTTTGTTTTGTTCTGGTTCTGGAGCAGAGAATCTCAGATGGAGAAAAAACCCCTTGGTCTCCCAAGTCTCCTCATAATCCAGATTGCCTTCCTGACTGCGTGTGAGTGAGGCGATGAGCAGCTTCCAGTATTGCTTCCCTCTGCCTCCTGCCTGCGTTCGCTGCAGCAGCAAAAGCTGTGGAAGGTGGTGGGAGGAGGGGGGAGAGAGAGAGAAAACAAAACTGCGGAGGGGAGAGTGAACCTTTAAATCTCATGACTGTGGATCGGTCTCATTTTGAAAACAATTTGAGTGTTCGGAATCAAATTTTGAAGGACAATTAGCTGTGAAGGCAGGCAAGCTGCTGACAGCATCTCTGGAGAGAGAGGAGTTTGATAAAGCAGAGTCTCGGGGAGTCGCTGCCCGCGGTGTTGCCTAAACCTTGTGCTTGGGAACCTTACCCGTGGACTCTGGCTGCATTGCAGCCCACTCGTGTAGGTGCAGCCGGTGTAGATAAACGTTGAGGTTTGGGATTCAGGATCGGGTGTGCAGCTGTGGAACCCCACGCAGGGATTTTTCTCTTTATTTCTTTCTTACAGGCTTTGGTATCTTTCGCTTTCTGTTAACATCCCGGCTGCTGGGGCAGCAGTGGCTCTGCTGTGCCTCGTCCACGGGGCCTGGTACAACCTGGGGCTTCACCCTTGCTGGGAAATCCGTGCATTTAAGAACTTCCCTTATTGCCTTAAATAAAATACATAACTTTGTGTCTTCGAGCCGATTGTTTCCTTACTACCCGTGATGATGGCAGATGTGGCCCTTGCCACGAGAGGCGGAGTGCCAGCCGCAGTAGCGGGGGGTGAAGTGTTTTCTGTCGAACCCTCGATCAGCCGGTAAAACAGACACACGTGAGCTTGTCAGTGGTCATTAATGTTTATTAATGCAGTCTGCGCTTAAGCATTCCCGCTGGATTTTTGCCAGTTTCACAGCGTGACCCCAACCTTCGCAGCGAGATCAGGCAACGCAGCCAGGACTGGGTCGGTCGAGGGAAGGCGAGCGTGCGGCTCTGTGCTACGGCTGGGACGCTTTGCATCAGGGAAAAATGACCGTTATTTTCTTTATTCTTAAAAGACTCCTGATTCCCCGAGGCGAGGGGCTGGGAGGGAGGGGCGCTTCTTTAGGGCAGTGAAGTACAAGTTTGTGGTGTATCTGACGGCGGGGTGGCTCCTCTCCTGCTCAAAATGCTGTGTCTTTCTGGGGAGCACCAGGGGGGCTGCTGGGGACCTCCCTGAGCTCCAAGAGCCACCCGTCTCCTTGCGTGGGAAGCAGCGACTGCTCCGGGCTCTTCCCGGTGCCCATGGTGGACGGAGCTGGGTGGACAGGCTGAGCCAGAGCCCAGGCTGGTGCAGGTGGGATCTGGCCGGCGTTAGACGGGGTGGGACGGTGTCACCTTATTCCGCAGCCCATCTGCACGGGGGCCGGGGGCAGCTGGAGTGGCTTTTCCTGTCCCCCCGGCGTGGTGACCGCAGCTCACCATTTTCAGCAGGCAGCTCTGAAACTGGGCAGGGAAAGGAGAGGTTACGCGTCGGGGCAGAAAGCCGGCGTTCCCCTCGGGACTCGGGGGTGGAGGCTGAGGGGGACACACAACTACTGTGTTTTGGGTGAGATCTGTACCCATCCCCAGCCCAACTCTTTGCAGTTTATCGACAATAAAAGTTTCATTCTATTTGCTCTGTGTGTTCCATGAGCAGTTTGCGATCTAAAATTAAGTTGCCTGACCCCATAAAATCACGGAAGCAGAAAATGAGCTCTTGCTCAGGCTCGGAGGCTGCTCCCTCCCTTTCCATTTTATTCCCAAAACCTTGCTGCTTATACAGCAGCTCCTGGATCGAGCCTGTGTCTACGTGCCCAGGTAGGATGGATGGTTCCTCCACATTTTATGAGGCCGTTAAGTTGTTCTCCAGGAGCCCCAGTGGATCTGTGCTTTCCTTAGCTGGTGGCTTTCTCTCTCACCTGTTTGTTCATGAAGACGTAGATGATTGGATTGTAAACCGTGGCGGTCTTGGAGAAGTAGGAGGGCAGGGATGCGAGCGCTGGCTGGATGGCGATGTCCTTGTTGGTGGCCACCACCAGCGCAAACGTGGTGTAGGGCAGCCAGCAGACGAGGAAGGCCATCACCATCGCGATCACCATGCGCGTCACCTCCCGCTCCGCCTGCTGTGTTGTGTCCGAGTCTTGCTGCTGCGCCGCAGCCTGCCAGGAGTTTGGAGAGAAGCCTGCTCGGCAGCTCCCCACAGCACTGCCATCCCTTGGCGCCCGGAGATGTCAGCGCCATCGGCTGTCGCAGAGACTGCCTCATCAAGACTGTGAAATGCCTCGCCAGTGTTTTGTGAGCGGAAAACCATTCCCTCCCCCGTACTCGCCGTACTTACCGCTCTCAGGGTCATCAACAGGTTGGCGTAGGAGAAGAGAATCAGGCCGAGGGGCATCACGAAGCAGGTGACAAACAAGGACAAGATGTAGCTGTTGTTGCTGCTGCCACCCGTGTACCAGTTGGGCCCGCAAGAGGTTCTCAGACCTGGAACAAATATGTTTTGAAACAAGCCTAAGCTGATCCTGGGCTTGGATGGAGGCTCGGGATCAGGCTCCAGCACAGCAAATGCTGGCGCTGTCACCTCTCAGCGATGCTGCCCAAGCTCCCTTCACTTTCCCATCCCTGAGGGCCTGGAGATCAGGCCCTGCTGTTTCTGCCTGGCCAGCTACTCTATGGAGGAGGGTGAGCTGTTGTGGCATGGAGCGTCACACCAAGCCTCCACCGCAGCAGATTGGGGCTGGGGATGTGCTGGGTGCTGCTCGGTCCGCTCCGACACCCAGAGCCCCTCGTGGCCTCGAGGTCCAGCAGACAGGTAGGAACGGCCACAGCGTGTTGTGCAGTGGGGAACTTCTGAAGAACAACCGCCCGGAGATGACGACTGACTGAGTGAGCAGGAGGTGTTAGCATTTTAAATACCAGAACAGAGACTCTCCAACTACCCTGCGCTTGAAAACAACACACAGGAAGAAGCTGTCGAGTTGAGCTCGTGTCCAAAGTGCATCTCCCCTACCTTCAGGCACGTAGCTGCTCCAGCCCAGGAGCGGTGGGGTCGTCCAGAGCAGTGACCAGCTCCATGTGAAGGCACAGCCACTGACGGCGTGCCGATGCTGGAACCGAAAGTCTCCCAGGGGTCTGCAGACCACCACATACCGCTCGAAGGCCAGGATGGCCAGGGACCACAGCCCCACGATGCCTGGGGAGAGGAGGAGGGTTTGGGTCTTGGGAACAGGCTCTGCTGCCACTCTGCTGCCCATGCTGGGATGTGGCAGCTGGCGATTGAGAGCTGTTGAAGTAAATATTGTTGTAAAGAGATGTCAGATGTTTTTCTCATGGCAAGCCTAGCTGTGAGGATATTTGGCCTTTAAAAATGAAGTTGGCAACTGCGTATCTGTGACATGTTGTGGATGTGACCACGGTTTCTCCACTGGACTGTTCTCAGCAAAAGGTTTTGTGCAGTGTTTCTGGAACACACACAAAGACCCATGTGGTGATAGAGCAGCCAGCTGGCACCCACGAAGCACATCCCGAGAGAGGACTCCTCAGGTGACAGTTCCCTCCCTATGAAGAGCATGTGGTGACCTGGCACAGCCAACCACCTACTTGACCCTTCCCTGAACTGAAGAATGGCTGAGGGACATGAGTTTTATGTCATGTGTGAATGCATGGCCTTTAGAAGCAGCAGCAGCAGCAAGTTGATGAAACACCCCCAAAGCTCCTTCGCTAAATGCAATGACACCAGCCAAAGACCAAGGTAGGTCCCGAGGTTCGGGTCCTTACCTGTCAGGGAGACCATGAAGCCCTCCAGCTCGCACATCCGCTTGCCAAACACGAAGAAGCCATTGATGTTGTTGGAGAAGCTGACAGAGCTGCCGCAGAGCGTCACCAGCAGGTCGGCCACAGCCACGTTCACCAGGATGTAGTTCAGGGGTGATCGGAGCTTCTTGTACCTGATGGAAACCACAATGACCAAGCCATTCACAACCAAGGCCGAGACCACAACGATGCCCATCAGCACGGCCACCAACATGCGAGGCCCGGGGGGCCTGGTGGGGCCACTGGGGGCAATCGAAAGGCCCCGGGGTCCCCGTATGCAGGGGCTCCTGCGAGTGGTTGGAGGAGTCCATCGGTCTTCTGGAGCCGCTGCAGGCGCCCCTCCCCAAAAGCAAAGCCTCTTTATAAAGCAGGAGGGCCTGACGCGCCCCAGAGGAGCTTTGCATCAAAATACCTTGAGCGTTTATTTAATCTGAAAGGTTTGTTCTCCCCGCCTCCCTATTTATAATCAGCTCTTTATTCTGGAGGGGATAAAGAGTGACTTAAAAAAAAAAATGTGATGACTGAGCAGTGCATCATTTAATTGAGCAAATAGATTTTTTTTTTTCCCTTTTTTTTTTTCTCCCCCTGTCTGCTTCCCACCTCCCTTCCCCCACAAGTGTGACCCCTGCCCTGGCCAGGCGCCCGGGACTGGCCAGTTATTCCTGGTGCCATGGGCTTTCTCGGCCACTGTTACTCCCATCCCGTCCACCCCGATCCAACCCCCAGGAGCACAGCGAGCCCCGAGCACACACGTCCCCACACACGCGTGTATCTCAGATCGCCCACCCCGGTCGCTGAGCCGGACCCTTGGCCCTCGGCACCGCTGCTCCCTGCCCTGATGCGCTCTGCACGCCCCGTGTCCAGGGATGCTCGCCCCGCTCCCGGCCCTGCCTCCGCTGTGGCTCCTGCACCTTGGCAGTGGGTGACAATGGTATGGAGACACACCAAGACTGTATTTTTAAAAATATATGAATAGCCACACGCATATAATTAGTTAACTCAGTCACATATATACACACACATGTATATATGCATACATGCACAAATATGCATGAGTATGTATATATAATATGTGTATAGATACATATTTATATCAGTGTTGGGGCATGTATATGTAAGGTAGGTGGGCGTGTGTCCGTCTGTCTCGAGGGCAGCTCTGTTTGGGCCGTACTTGTGTGTACCTGGGCTGCCCGTGCCCCTGTCACAGGCTGTGGGGGCCTGGCGCGGCCGGTGAATCGCATGCGGGGACCCGGGCGGGTTCCTCACGCCACTGCCGGGGTCTGGGCCGGGGAGCTGTGCTGGTGGAGGGCGAGGTGGGTGCCAGCGAAGGGCGAGGTGGGTGCCGACGCCGTCAGGGCATCCCACAGGCGATGGCACTCCAGGGAGGGCACTGCCTGCAGCAGCGGTGGGCAGCCCCGCTGCTCGCTGCTGGCATTTTAACCTCTGGAACTACACCCTCGATCAACCCAAAACTACAGCCAGGAGAGTCAACATCAGCCGGCACAGCTGGCCGGGGGTGTCCCTGCCCCTTCGCCCTGGGGAGCACGGCGACAGCGTCGCGATGGCGAGCTCTGAGCTGAGCCTGCCCCGACCCAGCCCTGGGGTCCCTCACCCCTGATGCTAATGCTGCTGAGTTGTGCCTTGAGTGACACGAAGTTAATGGAAAACTCAGAAGGGCCCAGGCTTTTTTATTTTTTAATTTTTTTTCTCCTTTTTTTCTTTTTTTAACCCCTCCCTTGCCTAACCCCCTCCCACCCTCCACAGTCCCTGTGCGATCGTCCCAGCACCCTGCTGCAGCAGAGCGGAGTCCCCGATGAGACAGAGGATGTGGAGCCACTGCATTTACGCTATTTTATTTTTTTCCTGCTGCAGCAGCAAGAGATCGGAGAGCGGAGCACGAAGCCAAGCAGCACCGCTCCGCTGCTTTACCACCACCTTCTGCTTCCCGAGCCCCAGCTCTTCACCCCGCGTCTCTGGGGCGCTTGCTGCTCCATCAGAGCCAGGCCGAGCTCACGGGCCGTGGTGCTGACGCGAGGAGATTCAAAACGCATGGCCAGCACTGACCTTTTTTCCCCCCCCCCCCCCCCCCCTTTTTATTTTGTGTTCTCTTTATAAATATTAACAAATCTGACAAAAAGTACACAGATAGATAATACTGAAATACAAAAGTCTCTCAGGATGCAGGTCAGGACAGTTTCTGCAGCCTTCACATGGTAGCAAAACATCGGTATCAAACATTTCACGAGGCCTGGCATGACGACCACCACTCTGCATGCAGCTGGGACGGACGGACAGACGGACAGACCGTCAATTAGAAAAGACTGGGATACAAAGTAAAGGAACCCACGCGCGCACACACACATCACGTCCTGCTCCGCCTCAGGCATAAACCAGATCCATGGCGAGACGTGCCGAAAAAAATGATGGACTGAAAGTAACTTTGCGAGGAAAGGGAGGCACGGCCGACCCGGCGCTCCCGCAGCTCTCCTGGAAGCTCAGACCCAAAGCGGATTTTTAAGGTGCCGGACCAGTGACAGGCAGAGAGGATTACTGGGAAAAATCCTACTTGACACGCTGCCGGCATTCAAATAAAATCCATGCATATCCGTAGAATGCATTACAAATATTAAGTTCTTAAAAAAGCCCCTATGAATATTGTTTCCCTCCCCCATATCAAAGTGTAACACGATCGTCACTTTGAAAAGTAAACGTAGGTTTCCAGAGATCCGATTGCTTTCCAGAAAAAAAAAAAAAAAGAAGTTGGCAACGCGCACGCGGCGCACGCGTACACAGCTACAGGGCTCAGAAGCTGCAGGGAATTGAGACTGGCAGGGAAACAGCAGCTCTTCCTAGGAAATCTCAAAGGCTTCAAAAATTTCTCAGGTTGCAGCATTTTGCAGAAAGTTTTAGCTCATCCCACCGGGCGCTGGGTCTTGGTCGATGACTTCATGCTGTTTGCCCAAGAGCCAGCACCCGGTGGGATGAGGATGCAGAGACTGGCCAGGGTGGGTCATGGAGGATGCGAGCTGGGTTTATTATTATAACATTATTATATTATTACTGTGTCGCGCACAGAAATTTGGTTTGGACGCCGTTTGAGACAGAAAATGGACCAACCCGATGGCCGTGCCGGGGCTGAGCATCTCTGCAAACACGCCGCCGGCTGAGCTCACCGCACACCACCCAGTAAATCACCACCTTGGCTGGGTTTTAGGTAATGGCATGAACTGGAAAAGGATGAATCAGGGAAAAGTGCTAGAAAAACTGAGCCTGAAAGCCTGGCTGCGTGGCTCCAGGCGGGACGGCGTGGTTTCACTAGGAGAGCGGCTGCTGCGAGGGCGGCGCGAGGCTTCGCTGCCGAGCCCAGGGAGCAGGAACGGCCCAAGGCTTCGCTGAGCTTTGTGTTTGGTGCTCCCCCATTTCCACAAACGCGAAGACGCTCAATCCCGGGGCCCGCGAGAGGGAAGCCGTGGTCCGCACAGCGCTCTCGGCTCGCTGGCTAACATCCCGTGGGTGAACGGAGAGGACGAGCACAACGTTTCTGGAAGAAAAGCAAACAGTCTTCCTAGGTTATCAGGGGACACAATCATTCCAGCGGAGGAGCTTTAAATGCAGAAAAGACTGTTTAGGCCCAAACCACAGAGACTGACAAACCACCAGAAATATGGCACAATTTGCCTTCAGAAAACAGTTCCAGGTTTTAGTGACGCCGTTTGCTCACATTAGGTACACGGACGGAGGCCGATGCATTCGTTTTTCGCCACTGAATTGCAAGGCAGCGAGAAGGTGATTCAGTACAGCAAGGAGTCGGGAGAGGAGCCAGAGCCGCAGCGCATGCAGGCGTGTGGTGCCCGCGGGCGCGCGGGTGTGCATGCATCTGCACGCTCGTGTGTGTGTGTGAGCGCGTCGGGGTGCACAGAGGCATTTTGGAAAAGCCTCAGGGGACGGGACCCGCTGAGCGGAGCAAAAAGGCTGCAGCCGACGGAGCTGTGCCCGTCCGGGGAGCGGCCCCGTGGTGCTCAGTCGCTGAGGACGGCCCCCGGCAGCTCGTTCGTTAGCGTGTGCCAGCGCTCGATTTTCTTGTCCTTGTTTTTCAGGCAGTCGAACCAGTGCTTCAGCCGCTCGCCTTTGGCATTGATTCCTAACACGACTCCACCTTGGGAGAGAGACAGAGAAAGGGAGAGGTGGGGGTGAGCCTCAGCCCTGCCAGGGGTGCCGCGGGATGCTGGGGGATGCCAGGTCACGCAGCCACTCTCACGGCATCCAATGCCACCACCTCAAGTGACAGACGGCAAATCACAGCCCGGCTTCCCCAGCCCCTCCCGGCCAGGGTCTGGGACCTGCCCCGGGCAGCTTGTTCTTGTGCCAAGGGCTGGATGCTCACTGCAATTGCAGCGGCTGTCAGAGAGCTGGGCACTTGTTAGCAATAAATCACAGTGACCAGTAACAAAATCACAACAAGCCTAGACATCCATCAGAGATAAGTGAAACCTCCCCGTTACACCCATTTTTTATTCAGAAGAAAGGATCTGGAAACAGAAAGGGAGAGGGAGATGCATCTTCTGCCTGCTTGGGTGCTCCTTGTGCGGGGGATGTCTGAAGCGAGGAGCAGCGGGGCCGGCTGCGGGAGAGCAGGTTCAGGTGCAGGAGAGGGGTAAAAGCAGAAGGAAATCCAACCAGAATGAATGTGGGGATGGAGAACAAACCAGGAGGCTGGAGAAGTGCAGAAGAACAGCAGACAAAAAAAGAAGAGACAAAAAAGCTGAGGATAAAAAAAAAAGAGGCCAAGGAGACCTTCTGGGGTGCCCCACTCACCTATGAAGTCGTTCGATTTCCCGATGTCGTAGTCCCACACTGTGACTTCCAAGGTCTTTTTCGCCAGGTCGCCATGCTTTATCTCGTAGCAAAACTCCTGTTGGGGAGTGGAGACAGCGTGAGAACGAACCCGTGCCAGGTTCGGTGCAGGACCCCTGCGAAGGGGCTGGGGCTGTCCCTCCTCCTCCTCGGGCTGTTCCCCTCTGCCACCCCTGAGGAACTCAACCTCGACCCCTCACCTCATGACTGAATTTGGGTTTCTTTTTTTTCCTTTTAAGTCTGAGGACAGAGAAAAGCTCCTAGGCGAGAACCACCACCGGTGCAAACCCACCTCATTGAACTCGGGGTTCAGTGTCTTCTTCTTCACCGCTGTCTTATGCTTTGATTTCTTGTCCTCATCTGGTTTCAAGTACCTGCAATGAAAGCAATGCGGCACGGTCACACACAGCTCCCGCGGCTGCTCCCAGGGAGGAAGGCAGGTCCAGCTGCCAGGGCA